AAAAAAAAAAACAACTCGTGGGATTTGATCATTTACTAGATTTGACCAAAATATGACAAGGGATTACGAAATGATAATTTAGAAATTTAAATAATCTGAGAATGAATAATACTTAAATGGTATGTAAACAATGTATTCTTACAGTTTCGAGCATTTTCATTGATCCTAGAAAATTATATTGACCTCAAAAGGCAAGAAATTATTTTCTTACGTGTAATTTGTATGGGAAAACTAAACGCTCGACGCGGGAGCTCTTAGAATGGTTGTAGAGAGGGGAGATGCGNATTTGATCATTTACTAGATTTGACCAAAATATGACAAGGGATTACGAAATGATAATTTAGAAATTTAAATAATCTGAGAATGAATAATACTTAAATGGTATGTAAACAATGTATTCTTACAGTTTCGAGCATTTTCATTGATCCTAGAAAATTATATTGACCTCGAAAGGCAAGAAATTATTTTCTTACGTGTAATTTGTATGGGAAAACTAAACGCTCGACGCGGGAGCTCTTAGAACGGTTGTAGAGAGGGGAGATGCATGGAGTAATGGTCATTACTATCCCAAATGCTAAAATTTGAGTCTTATTATGGTCACATTGCAAGTGTTTTGACATGGTCCAATATATTTTCTATATCTATGTACATATATATTATGTTTTTTGTTATAATATCATCGTTTCTTGCAGTCTTTTAAGTTGTGTTAGAAGAAGAGAGAACATTTATGTTCACAGAAAAAAATTCACATAATTATAAATAATCAAAATTAATCAAAACTAAGTAAATTTATTGTAGAACTAATCGCATTTGTTTTTTTTTTATTATATTTGATTTTTTTTACCAATTGGCTAAAAATACGATAATTGTTTGATTATTTTTAATGCTGATTATTAATTTAAAAGTGGAAATAATGTTAATTACTCATTTAGCAGATTGAAAAAAAAAATTAATTAAATCGGTAATCATTACAATTTAAATCATTACTTAAAGGCTCTGGTTTTACTTACTGCTCATTTGGTTNTCAAAACTAAGTAAATTTATTGTAGAACTAATCGCATTTGTTTTTTTTTTTATTATATTTGATTTTTTTTACCAATTGGCTAAAAATACGATAATTTTTTGATTATTTTTAATGTTGATTATTAATTTAAAAGTGGAAATAATGTTAATTACTCATTTAGCAGATTGAAAAAAAAAATATTAATTAAATCGGTAATCATTACAATTTAAATCATTACTTAAAGGCTCTGGTTTTACTTACTGCTCATTTGGTTTCAATTCTTCACCATCCTTAAACCAACGAATTAGTGGAAGGGGACTTCCGAGCACTTTGCACTGCAGGACGAGGTCTTCATCTTGAGATATTTCTTTGGCGTTATCGAACTTTGATTCAAATGATGGAGCCAATTCCAAAAGGGAAAGTTGAAATTGTGCCTCACTGGAGCCTATTTGGTTTTTAGCAACAACAGAATACTGAAAAACTCAAATTGAATAAGACTGCAATTTATGAAAACAAAAGTCATACCGTTCCAGCATCTGTAGGCTTAAAATTAGATATTTCAAATTGGCTTCCCAATTGATCTGAACCTTGTGAAAAATGTTTTAAACTATACGTTTCCTCGTTACTCATTTTCTTAATTCCGTCGTGGATTATCGTAAGACCTTTTTTCCATTCAATTGTCGGTTTCGGTATGCCATGAGCCAGCACATGTACAACGGCCGGGAAATAGTCCTGTACTGATTGATCCTCCGGTAATGTTATAAATGTCGGCTTCTCGACTAAAAATTAAAACAAAATCCCAGTTTAAAATAAAAATCATTCATTATACATAAATTTGTTGAAATTCAATATCGAGTGAGTTATCATTTTTAACCGACTTCCAAAAAAGGAGGAGCTTACCAGTTCGTCGAAATATTTTTTTTTTGTATGTATGTTACCGCATAACTTTGGACCACGTCAACCGATTTCGATAATTATTTTTGCAACGGAAAGGTAGTGTCTCAGAGGTGGTACTAATTTGGTTTAGATCCGATCATTGAATCATGAAATATATATATATATATTTTTTTTAGTCGGTTTTTTTTTTGCTAAAAATTACTTGTTTTTGTTTTGATCCATATGCATACTTTAAGGACCGCTTGTAAAACATCCAGGCGAAAATATAAATTATTTACATATAAAAATGAATGACTGGAATATAAGCCGTTCATCCGATTGCGATGAAATTTATGTGAGTTATTGGGCGCATACTCGAGAGGGTTGGTATATGGGAGGTTCTATAGGAAAGTGGACCTCGGTGCAAAAATTATTTCCTTTATAAAACTAACAAACGTGTGGATAAGCCATTTGTAAAAATCTTTAATCAACCAAAAAAATAACAAATTAAAGATTTAAATACATTTTTATTATGTTTTTTACGTTTTGAAATCAAGTTCTAAGTAAATTTTTTGATTGAGTTTAAAGTAGGTTGTGTTGAATGAGTGTTTGGTACGAAAATATATAGTAGAACCCATCTACTTTTAATAAAATTGTGTTATATATTAAATTGTGTAACTGCTTTATCTATATTATGAGTTATTATTAAGCAGTATTGGTCTTGTCCCACCCGTGACAAAAAAACTTGTTATATTTAATTACAGAAGTTGAGGTTTTGTTTCGTGTTTGTTACATCATGTTAGAATATTTACCATAATTGCGTTGTTGTTTCCACGTAATTAGATAAGAATAATTCGACAGAAAAGTATGTCCCACTCGTGACAGCTATTTGTGGGACAGTTGTCTCAGGTAGGTTTACAGGGCTGACAAGCTTTATTTGTTTGTTGAGGTGGACGAAGGGTAGGAGGGCCCCCCTCCATGCGCGGACTCGTCCATTATCTATATACCCTTGTGGTCAGCTGATTAAGTTCAGTTATATTTTGACCAGTTTTGGTTTTTTATTTTGTTAATCTAATGTTTATAGTTTTTTCTTATAAAGGTCTAGCACATTACCTAGCCAGAACCACATAAATCTACATTTCAAACTTCTTACAAAATTATAAAATATCAACAAACTTTAACAATTACACCCAAATATTTTAAACTTTTTGTTCAAAAGTTTTAGGTATGCAGTTTTGTAGTCCATTAAATTTAAGTAGGTAATAGTAAACCTTTCAAGATACTAGGAAATCGCGTTCATTTTTAATAATTTTTTTTGGCTGACGGTACTAAGCACTTCTTCTATATAAAAGGTACCATCCTAAGAAAAAACGTGAGTGAATTTAACCCCTACTTCCTCATCATTGTCGGTGTCCTTGCCGTGGGGATGGGGCTTAAGTGGTAATATGGCGGCTGCTTCGGCAACCGACATATCACCACGAGCTAAGAGAAAAGCTTGTAAAGTGATCTGATGCCGCTGTATCAACCTCGCCCGCTGGGTAAGTGTGATACTAGCCACTCTAGTTTCCATGCGAGATCACCGCACCGACGTCCCTATCCCTAATCCTACCCCATCCCATCTTCCCTCCTCTCCTCCAAATAATCCTGACTGGGGAGTCATTAACACACACCCCCCTAATCCGAGATAGCCCGTGTCTATCGGATAGGTTTGCAGTCGGGGTTATTCAGACTGTATTTTAGCGGTGCACCTCTCTGATACCTGCCCACCTCAGGGGGTAACGGCGGGCTTACCGTGTTATTGGGGGCTATGACACGACGGAAAGTTCTGAGCCCTACACTCGTGGGAATTCTTATGGAGAAAAACAACAAAAAAAAAACAAACAAAACACCAGCAGGCACTTATACCGCACCACAAATAATAAAAATAAAAATAATATCGAACATACTGATAGCCAGGACCCTACACGACAACGGAAGGAAAGTCAGGGGCGGGTGGGATCTGAAAATGCTTCTGCAGCCGAAAATGACATACCACAGACCTCGACAAGTACTGGACTGAAAACCAGACAGTATAGAAAATTCTGGGACGTCAGGAAGGCCACAGGTTTGAGTGCCGCAGGGGCCAAATGGTACATGCGCTATATCAGTAAATGCTTAACGCCTGAGGAGGCCAAAAAGAAGGTCCTGGACCGGGAGAAGACCAGTGACAGCGCACGGGGGGCTGGAGAGATTAGTGCCGGAAAGCTAATCCGGAGGACAAGGAAGTCCTGGACGGGGAAAAGCCCAGTGACAGCACGGCGTGCTGAGGAGATTAGTCCTCCGTAAGGGAAGCCTGAGAAGGAGAGGAACCCAAGACAGGGGCCAGGAAGCCTAGTTATGCTAGCGCCACTAANGCACGGGGGGCTGGAGAGATTAGTGCCGGAAAGCTAATCCGGAGGACAAGGAAGTCCTGGACGGGGAAAAGCCCAGTGACAGCACGGCGTGCTGAGGAGATTAGTCCTCCGTAAGGGAAGCCTGAGAAGGAGAGGAACCCAAGACAGGGGCCAGGAAGCCTAGTTATGCTAGCGCCACTAAGCATATTAGACTGGCTGTTCTGCCGAAGGCTTTCCCTGACAGTACACTCCCTCGTGAGGATCAGGGAAAGATTGAGGACGCTATTGTGGAGGAGATGGGTAAGGGTTGGAGGTCAATACTCCAATTCGACAGCATCCACTTTCAGCCAGGCCTTATGCTGGTCTANCGCTATTGTGGAGGAGATGGGTAAGGGTTGGAGGTCAATACTCCAATTCGACAGCATCCACTTTCAGTCAGGCCTTATACTGGTCGGCTGCTTGGATGCAGAATCAGCCGAATGGCTGCGCTTAGTTGTTCCAAAACTGCCTGGTTGGGAGGGTGCGGAACTGACTACGTGCGATGGGGACAACATACCCATGGTGCACGTGAGTGCACGCAGAAACAATTGAACCTCATTATAGCCCAATATGAGGGAATGCATACCGACCTATGGAGGTATACAGGAGCGATGATGTGAAGACGGGTAAACTGCATACGATCGGGATAGACGATCGGTCGTTGGAAGCTATCAAAAAGAAAAACTGTATCCTACGATACAGGTTTGGTAGTGTTCCAGTGCATGTGCACAAGGGCAGGGAACTGAAGACGAAGGTGACCAAGCCAAATACTCCACCGGGTGTTCCTGGCATACCGGAGGAGGTGGCTGAGATGGTAGCTGTAACGAAGCACACAGAAGCAGAGTTTGACGAAACCCTGACAACGGATGAAGAAGAATAACGCCATTAGCTGCGACCAGCACTAAGGTTGCACAAATGAACCTACACCATGCGAGGGCCGCGTCTGCGATTATCGCTAGGGCAACCCTCAGGTCTACAACGGTAATAATGCTGGTACAAGAACACTGGGTCGTCAGGGGCCAACTAAGAGGCTTGGCAGTAGAGAACAGGCAGGTAATTTGGGATACTTAGCTAGAGGTACGTAGTGATCACGTGCACCCTGGGTATGTTGTCCCCATCGCACGTAGTCAGTTCCGCACCCTCCCAACCAGGCAGTTTTGGAACAACTAAGCGCAGCCATTCGGCTGATTCTGCATCCAAGCAGCCGACCAGTATAAGGCCTGACTGAAAGTGGATGCTGTCGAATTGGAGTATTGACCTCCAACCCTTACCCATCTTCTCCACAATAGCGTCCTCAATCTTTCCCTGATCCTCACGAGTGAGTGTACTGACAGGGAAAGCCTTCGGCAGAACAGCCAGTCTAATACGCTTAGTGGCGCTAGCATAACTGGCCCCTCTCTTGGGTTCCTCTCCTTCTCAGGCTTCCTTTCCGGAGGACTAATCTCCTCAGCACCCCGTGCTGTCACTGGGCTTTTCCCCGTCCAGGACTTTCTTCTTCTCCGGGTTAGCTTTCGGAGCACTAATCTCTCCAGCTCCCCGCGCGCTGTCACTGGTCTTCTCCTGGTCCAGGACCTTCTTTTTTTGCCTCCTCAGGCGTTAAGCCTTTACTGATGTAGCGCATGTACTATTTGGCCCCTGCGGCACTCAAACCTGTGGCCTTCCTGACGTCCCAGAATTTTCTATACTGTCTGGTTTTCAGTCCAGTACTCGTCGAGGCCTGTGGTATGTCATTTTCGGCTGCCGAAGCATTTTCAGATCCAGNGTACTATTTGGCCCCTGCGGCACTCAAACCTGTGGCCTTCCTGACGTCCCCTAATTTTCAATACTGTCTGGTTTTCAGTCCAGTACTCGTCGAGGCCTGTGGTATGTCATTTTCGGCTGCCGAAGCATTTTCAGATCCAGCCCGCCCCAGGCTTTCCTTCCGTTGTCGTGTAGGGTCCTGGCTATCAGTATGTTCGATATTAGACTCGACCTGGTTCGCCAGTTGTGGTGCGGTATAAGTGCCCGCTGGTGTTTTGTTTGTTGTTTTTCTCCATAAGAATTCCCACGAGCGTAGGGGTCAGAACTTTCCGTCGTGTAGTACCCAATAACACGGTAAGCCTGCCGTTACCCCATGAGGCGGGCAGGTATCAGAGAGGTGCACCGCTAAAATACAGTATGAATAACCCCGACTGCAAACCTGTCCGATAGAGACGGGCTATCTCGGATGGGGGGGTGGTAGGGGGGTGTGTGTGTTAATGACTCCCCAGTAAGGATTATTTGGAGGAGAGGAGGGAAGATGGGATAGGGTAGGATTAGGGATAGAGACGTCGGTGCGGTGATCTCTCATGGAAACTAGAGTGGCTAGTATCACACTTACCCAGCGGGCGAGGTTGATACACCGGCATCAGGTCACTTTACAAGCTTCCCTCTTAGTTCGTGGTGATATGTCGGTTGTCGAAGCAGCCGCCATATTACCACTTAAGCCCCATCCCCACGGCAAGGAGGCCGAC